TCCTTTAGGCAATTACATCCCCAGGGCTGCCAAGAGCCTTTCAAACCCTCCCCTCTTCAAGTAAGAGGCCATGTAAGTTTTTGAGGATCATTATGAGGCAAATATGTCATTCTGAAGGATGGAAATACAACAAGCTGCAGATCATCTGAACCTGAACCTTACCAAGCCACCACTGAGACACAAAAATGTTGCTCCTTGACTGCACAGGGGACTTTCTGACTTCCCTACCCACACACATAAATCTTTATCAACTTAGATGCACAATTAAGCCAAACATTCATCCAACAAAAGATAAAAAAATTATTCCTTGGGTGGTGTCACAGCTGAAAGCAGAGCTGTAAAGGCTCTAGAGCATCCTGAGTGATCAGTCTCATATCAGACATTCTCCACTAAGCTTTGTCTGGCAATGTTCCCACTATTTGAGGAAGGAAATGCACAGCTGGAATGCACAATTGCCTTAACTCCATGGCAGGAGGATGGCAGTTCATAATTAATTTTCCACATCAGCTGTTGGCTGCCCTCCTCTTCCTCTCTGCTGGGCTGAAAACTGTCGGTGGATACTTATCCAAAGAGCAGGCCTGCCACAGAGCAAAAGGCATGATTATTACTAGCTASTGTTTTACAGTGCATCCTGGCCAAAAATCAGAGGCAAGTGAGCCTGGGCACAGTGAGAGCAGCACCAGTGCAAAGGCAGCTCTGCCAGAACCTGCCTGTCCTCTGARAGATGCCAAACCAAAGGGAATAGAAAAGCAGGATGAAGAGAGGAGACAAAAAAACCGTGTTCTCAGAGAAAGGTTTGGAGCCAGCTAATTCCAAAACATCTGCAGCCCAAAGAAACACAGGACCTTTTCCACCCTGGCTGTGCTCTGCCTAAGACACGGCCCAAGGGCTGCCAAGCAGCAGCTCTGCAGAGGACAAGGAGCTCYAAACTGCTTTGTCTTCTGAGAGGAAGAATGTGTGCTCCACTCAGAGCCAGCATATCCCTCTCCTCAGTCTCCAAATCTCTGCATAACTGGATTGCTCAGTTAGTACAGGGAGGTTGCTGGTCCTCACAGGGGGAAGATCTCCATGAGAAAATAAACCCCAACTTCATCACGCTCTCTGAAGCACCACCACAAAAAAAAAAAAAAAGAGGGCAAGAAGGCAGAGCCACAAGCTGCCAGCCCAAGAGCAAGGCCATTTGTATGACTTCAGGCAGACCCACTGACTTCTCAGTACTTCAAGAGCACTATTGGTAAAGCAAAGGACTATTATATTGCTGCTCTGTGATTGTTATCTTGAAAACATCATGTTAGTTTTGGAGTTTCTTATTTTCTTTCAGAAATTCAACTCGGTTCTGCCGCTGCTATCAGCTTTTTAATTCATTTTACAACAAGATATTTGTTATCAGAAATGGTGCTTTGATATGTGTCAGGTTGATGGATTCAATAAAAGCCCTGTCAGGAGGAGCTGAGTGAGTGGGGCTGCAGAAGTGGTGCCATCAAGGGAATTGATACATYCACAGCCAGGCTGCTGATCTTGCAACAAAAACATGCAAATATAATTGCTGTGTTATTACCTCACCCTGGCAAAACAGGCCAAAGAAACACTAGGAAATATTTGCATAAATGTTACTCAAGCAAACGAGCTAGGCCTGTTCACTGATGAATAAAAACATGTAAAATACTATGCTGCATGCTGCCCTCTTGTCCTGTTTGGTGTGCAAAATTCAAWCCAGGGGAAGAAAAGTTTTAATCAAAACAAAGATTTTAATTTAATTTGGGGAATTCAAGCAGGTGCTCCAAGCAAGCTTTTCCCTCAATAATGTTGGAGGACAATTTTACTGACAAATTTTCAGACACAGCCACCTACACCCCTCAGCAAAGCCACTAAAAAGTTGCACTAGGGTCTTAGTTTGACAGCCAAACCTTCAGGCACATAAAATCAGAGCTCTTTGCTGATTTAATAAATGAAATCACGTAAGAAACAGGAGAAATTTGAAGAAGAAAATAGTAACTTTTTTTGGGAGAAGGAGACCTGCCCACTGCTCTGCTGTAGATCAAGCAAGGCTTCAYCTGGTCAGAGCATCACAAGTGCAGCACCACCTCTGCACTGGCCTGGAGCTCAGAAATTTTAACTGGAACTCATTTACAGAATGTCTGGAAAAGGTAAAAAATGGTATGTTGAGATTCACCTTTTAGAAAAGGGAAATAATATTCCAAGTCTAAACAAACCAAAGGGAGGATTTCCACAGCAATTAATCTGAAAAAGGTGAATTACACTGAGGATTTATGTTCATGTAATGAAGACAATTAATTGCTACAAGAGCCATAAAACACATTAAATGAACAGGTTTTTTTCCAATTCTATTTGCAAGATAAAATTTATTAACTATGTTAAATGGCTACTTAAAAATTTCTCTTACATATTTATTAAATGTGCCTTTTCAGCCACACAGAGCATTTTACTAACTGGATTCTACTAATCTAAAAACAAACAATTTCAGAAAAAAAAATTATTACTCTGCATGTTATCTGCAGATCCATTTAAACAAAATCCTCATACAATAAGATTACCATCAGCACAACTTCATAAATGCTGCTAAAAGGGAATCTGCTTGTCTCACAAGGATGAATGAAGTCAGCTCACAGCATTTGAACAGATGTTTCAGTTTTCAGCAGAGATACAGAGGGAAACATTGATTCCTGATGCCATTTAGTGTTACTGCAATCACTTAATTCAAACCCTCTCTACTTGGGAGAGCAGGACACGCAGAACAAACTGGATTAGGTGGGAGCAGTGACCTCAGAAGGATCCACATCCAAATCCTGTGCTCTCCACTACAGACTCAGCTGCTCAGCCAGGGCTATCTGTGTGCCTCCAGCAGCTTGAGCACTTAGACTGCTCAGAAATCAGGGTAAAAAGCAGAAGTGATCTAGAATTGACTCTCTTTCTCATTCACCATTGACAAAATGGGGATAAACAGCATTTCTGTCTTACAAAGGTGTTRTGAGAGCAGATAAAGTTGATGGCAGTCAAGCACTCTGTTAATCACGAGTCCCTGAGATGAGAAGAATCGATAAAGAAAGGCCTCAGCTACTTAAGTGAGCAACAGTTAGGACAAACCTTTATACTTCAGCAAAACCTTCTCAACCTCAATGTTCTTCTTTAAAAAGTTTCCATAAATGTGAGATTTAAATAAGAACCAAGTTTCAGATCTGATAGYCATGAAGTAAAATGCAAAAGCATAACTGAAGTCCAGTCTAGAGTTTAATGCCTAAATAATATTTCACAAATCAATTGTAGAGACCTTAGACTGAGAGTTAGACTGGGTCAGGAATGACAGGGAGCTCATTTACCATCCCCACATCCAAGGCAGCAGCAGCACCATGGTCACACCAGCAACCAACAACTCTGGAGCAGATCCTCACACAAACTGGGGCTCCCTGGGCAGCAAAACTGCCCAGAAAAACTCACACCCTCATTGCAAGGAAGATTTGCACGTTCCAACTCACAGATCTCAAACCCAAACAAGGAATAAACAAAAACCGCTGTGATTTCTACATTTCAAATTTCTCTCTGCGAAGAGTCAAGAAGCTCTCTTGATTACAAAACAGCTCTCAGGCAACCTTCCCTTTTAAGTGTTATAATCACAAGAGCAGTAGCTCGGAAATAAACACAAGTGAAGAGGATAATAAAGGCAGGAGCAATGTTTAACAAGCTTTTTTTCCAGAAACTGGGCACCACTGGAGCAGACAGATGAGCAGAGCTGTGCTGGGCTGTAATGATGGGAATCTCACCCTGGCAACCATGTTATTGTCTTGAAATTCCTCTATAAATTAACAGCACACGCTGTGGTTGGAACAGACCTTTCCTGACCCTCAACGTTTAAAAGTTAAGCACCCAATTTAAGCTGTTCCARCCAACTTTTCCCTGCAGTTGCCAGAGATGGGCAGAGCTCTGCTGGAGCACAAGAGTTTGAGCCCACGGTTTCCAGAGATAACGTGGCAAGTGTAGATCAAAAGCAGAACTCATGCACAACTCACCTGGGTGCTTCATGGCTTATTTCAGAGGCTTTTAAGAAAGTCTTGACTTCTTTTCCCTGCTCCTTCACTAACACCAAGCACAGGTGTTATATTGCTGCTGTACTTCTCTCAACAAGATTACAGTGCTGGCTCAGTCACACAAAGGAAGTCAATACCCATGTGTTAAATGAAAAAGGATAATATTGTCTGATACCATTCTGCYGAGATCTGGGAACCATTGCTTTAAATTTGCTGGTTTTCTTTTTGAATCAGAAAACTTTGCCTTCAGAGAAATAACTYGACCTAGGTAAAAGAAGCCATAGAATCCAAAACCATATTACCCTAAAATCTCATATGRCACAATCTTCATCAACAATTTGTCCTGACCTTCAGTTTCTTGTTAGAAAATGGTTGCATGTTGCCTTGCCACAGCTCCAGCATAGCCAAGGCAATATTTGTGTGGGTATGAGAACCCCCACACAGGCAAAAATTTAAAAGTGCTGCACAAAAAGGGAGGAATATGAAAGGGAGGAAATTGGCGTGGTATTTCCATCCTTTTTAAACAGTAAGAATATACAAAGCACAAAGGAAAGCATAGGGCTGAATTACAAATGGGCTACTTCATTTCCTTTTTTTTTCCCCATCTCTGACCCTCAGAACTACAGACATTAATGAAACACAACAAGTGGGATTTTCAAAACAAGGATTCTTATCACCAAATATCCATCACCAGCAGCGACACACAACCATCAGCAAGCATTTTGTTCAATAAAGAACTTCACATAAACACACACCCCCTCAAGCCCAAGACAATAAAAACACTTCACTCCTGATGAATGCTTTCCAAATTCAGGGAGAGCAAAGCTTATTTACAGACACAGTAAGAGCATGGCGTGAATACAGCAATAAACTCAAAGGCTGCTAATGTTCTGTTTTCCACATACACACACATTCAGAAAAGAGCAAAAATACAAGAGCAGGKGCAGAAATACATACCTTACCAAACTTGACTGTTGGACACGACKGGTTTCAGAGCAACATTGGTGTGAAGGGAAGTCCCTCAGGCGACCACCAACCACAATTCCTTCTTGAGCCCCCCAGAGGCTCCAGCTCTCCCTTGCCCGTGTCCCTGAGGAAGATGCAGTGTCCTCCAGTATTTCAGAGCCTCAGCTGCAGAAGATGCTGCTCGGGAAAAAAAAGAGAGAAGAAGGTGTGGCATTAAATTCTAGGGTCAGTTGTTTGGCGGATTCAGAGCAGAACACAAGACAACATTGGATAGGAATGAAATGTCAAGGCAGGACAGAGAGTCTGTGACAATCCATCATGTGTGGCACCTTCAGAGGGCAATCATTGAATTCAAGAACTGTGGTGCAAAGCTATTCTTGCTTTACAGTACTTTCAGAGTGTCCCTAGACCAGGAAATGAATGACAGCCTGGCTGCTTTTTATTCCAGTCCAATATCATAATACAAAAGTAAGTAATGCACTTCTCCATAGGGAATATTTTAATTCATTATGGCATTTCTGAAGAATAAGAGGACTTTCATATTAAAAGCAGAGACATCACCTCAGTCATAATACTCTGCACGTTTAAATGGCTCTTACTCAAGAAATTCAAAGCTTAGGAGCTCACAGCAGATGGGGAGTCGTGACTGCCAGCCCAACACKCAGCACTTCCCAAAGTTCTGCCTCCAATGCAATTGTCAGAGACCAGTAAATGTCTTGGGGTTTTCTGGGATTGGGGGGCTCAGCATCACCACGTTTCCCAGCTCAGCACCACTGCTGAATGTGCTCAGAGTTTTCAAGAGGTCAGACCCTGGCACTGAGCAGGGATTTGGGGCCTCACTGCACACAGCAGGTGAGACACAGTGATGGAGGCACCAGCAGCACTGCCAGCAAGCAGAAACCTCAGAGCAGCACCGAAACGTTTAAATGCCCATCTCTAATTCCTGGCATGTAGGAGACATCCAAAGGATCATCCTTCCCCCACCGAGATAACACAGCCTGCAAATCAAAACTGGGCACAGCAACACAAATTGAGTGAGGATTGAGGAAAGAGCAGGATCTGAGCTCCCTAGGACAGATATATCCATGGCTTCCATACTTAAACCACACCAAGAGATGTCTTAACTCAGCAGCCTCTCTTACTTTGTCTASGAATGCAAAAAAAAAAGCAAAGRAAAAAAACCSCAGAGATATTAAYGAGATTTCCCTCAGAGAAGAAAGACTGAGGCAGCTCAAAGTACCACAAAATCCCATTGCATCTTCACAGGAAACCTTGAAGCCATGAACAGGTTACACCTATCTGGAAAATACATTCAGGTTTTGGGCTTGCAAGGAGGAAGATTTCAGTAACCAGTATGCACATATGAAACAGTGCATACTGGAAGTTAGCATCATAGTACCATATATGAATTTATATATCTATAAACACACAGGAATTTACATAATGGGGTTTTTCTCTTTTTTTTTTTGCTGAAGTCCACACAGCAAGCACAGTCACACAGATCACAATAATCAAACATATTCACTTGATTTGGGACTAATTACTTTACTGGATCTGTATGTTACATGTTATCCCTAAAGGCTCCACAACACCTTGTGAGATATGAGATACCCCAGCAGGAGTCAGAGTGGCAGATCTTATACACATCTGCAGACTTTCTGCCTCTCTTGATCTCAGACATGAAGGACAAAAGTGGACCTTCAGAACTCCTGTCCTCTTCCAGGCCAACCATGAAAAATCYGACTGCCAACTGAAAAGGCTGCTGAATGACTTATGGGCACAGGAATGGCTGATGCTGCAGTAGTTTGATCTGCAGGCAGCAGCAAGACCTAATTCTRCTGCTTTTAAGGGATTTTATCTCTGGAGACCACAGCTACAATTACTTTTTCATTTCTACTCGTAAACTGTRACACAGAATAGTCACTAAAGGAAATCAGCGCTACATTTCTGTGCATTAACCACTGCATCAGCTGAGTAGTGGAAATAAAAGTAAATAAAAGTAACAGGATCAGAYCATCAGGGGCTGGGGAGGGTGGGGATGTGAGAGAGCCTGGCCAGCAACACAGTAAGGCAAAAGGATACAAAAAAATCAATGTACAGAAGCCCTCACAAGTTATAATTTCGCTCAGAACTACCAGGGGGAAAAACCAAGAAAAAATAATAAAAAAAAAAGAATATATGACATTTGTGTCACCCAAATGGGCACGATTTTGCAGAGAAACCCCTCCAAAGTCACTGAGTCACTCCTGACTTGATGGCCAATGTCCAGCTGGTTTCCCTCTCACAGTTAAGGAACCTGGAGAACCCATCACTGAACTTCCAAGATGCCTCTTGGATCTCCTTGACTTTGGGCAGTTCTTGCCAAACCCAGAGCCTCAGAGCACCCCATGGCTGCAGAGTGAGAACAGGGTGCCCAGAGAAGCTGTGGCTGCCCCTGGATCCCTGGAAATGCCCGAGGTCAGGCTGGAAGGGGCTCTGAGCAACCTGGTGTGGTGGAAGGCGTCCCTGCCATGGCAGTGGGGTGGAATGAGATGATCCCTTCCAACCCAAACCATTCTTTGATCCCTGATACAAAAATCATCCACTTCAGTCTGCAGCTGCTATAGGAGCTGSCACTGCTCCTACCTGAAACAAAACCAAGTCTGAACTTGCAAAAATGCCCCATGTCCTAGAAATCCTGCAATTCTGTTGTGTTGTTTCTCCATTGCTGTGCTCCCTGGCTCGTYTTTGATCAGAGGGAACACGCCGACAAACTGCAAATTACTTCCATTATCCCACCACTTCAGATTTTTACATTCAGTTAACATAGTTAAGTGGTATCAGATCCGTCTTCCACTCACAAAAGCCRGCATATGGATGTTCTCATTAATCAGAAAAGGCAGACGAGACATTTTTCCAGTAAAAAGAGAGTATTTCCCTTGGAGGAGTCTCAGTCCTTTGCTGATGGAAAGCATGAATTATACAAAATAACTACATACTTTAGATGTAACAAATAAGATCAAATATTAAATCTGAAGACACCATTTCTATCCTGTGATTCTTCCAGACCACAAATCAATGAAGTCTGGTAGARTCTCTCTCTTTCTCTCTCTCARGAAGCCTTGCTCTGTCTCTGCCYTGTTCTCACAYTTGTTTTAGGCATCAACTATTGATCCCTGTCGGGGTGAGGACAGGACCTGGCTGGACCCTCCTCTGTCCCAGCACAATCAACTTTTTATTTGTGTGTAACACAACTTAAGGTGCAGCTTGGGCCTTGTGGCCTGATATGACAACACTGGTGAGCATTTGCAAYTTCAGCAAGGGCAAAAATGAGGTATCTGGAAGCTAAACAACACATCTGGCAAGCAAATATTACAGTATAGTAGATATTCAAATTRGTATTAGTCTCATCAAAAATTAATTACAATCTACCTAACTGCAATTGAATAAATTAGTTGGGCGTAGAAAAGATTAAATATTTAAAGTGGCTGGTGACTGAAAAATAATTGAAAACATAACTCCTTCCTTAAATATTAAGTTGGTTTTTTTTTTTTATTTTCACTGCCAGTGTGGCCATTAAGAAATCACAATTCCAYATGTGTGCACATCCATGTAGATGTGCATGACACATTCACATACATGGAACTTGTTCATGTATATTCTTCTAACTTCCCTAAAACTAAACCTGGGTAAATATTGTAAATATTTTCAGTTAATAAAATTGAAGAGCCAGAAGAAAGACTGTGAATAAGGCGAGGGAAAACACAATTTTCCTGCTAAGTGCTTAGCAAGGTCACCCTGTAAAGGCAGGGAAAGAACCCCCAGCAGGCTCTGAATGCAGCAGGGGATTACAGCAATTCATTAGCAGGTGTATGTTCTAATTAAGGGAACTCTGCTGCTTTCTCCACATCCTCGGGATCAGGGACTGTTCCTGCTCAGCTCCAGCACAGCCTCAGCACAGGCTCTGGTCAGATGAGCTCTGTTATCTCCAAGGATGCTCCTGACTCCTCACAGCTCCCAGGGGAAGCTGTGAGACCAACAGCTCACCCTGTCAGCTCCATCTCTACTAAAGATCTCACATTAATTTGCTCTAAAGGTGACACAGGTGAAGAAYAGAATAAAATGAGACTTTGAATCCCTCCTTGCAGAAGGCTAATGGTAAAAAATCRGCAGCAATGCAACTCTGGCACCTTCCCAACTATAACACTCAGAGCATTGCCCACAGCCRTGTCCCAGACACAATCTATCATTCACCATGGCTCAGTACAAAACATAAATAAAACAGAAGTCATCAGCACTACTCRCACTCAGCTGTTTTGAAGCTTTTTTTCCCCCCCTCTCTTCCTTGCTAACAAAACAAACTGCAAAATAGGAGAGCGGCAATTCGAGTGATAACACCCACYATGAGAAATTTGGTGAGAGCTGGTGGTGTTTTGGCAAATTAACTCAATTAAAGAAAGCAGCCAATAATAAAATGAAGAACATGCTGACTGAGATTTATGCAATAGAACACTGTGGTGCTGCTGAAGATCAGCATTGATTTTTGTCATCCAAGTACAAACTAATGGCACCCAGGAAAAAGGAAATAAGTGGTTAATCATGCTTGTGGTAGGAACTATTCCCATCATAACAGCATCAGTGTTACATTATGAGGCTCAAGAGTGATTAATACCTTGCTGGGTTAGAAAACACTACAACACTGCACAGGTTTTGCTACTGCAAAACACTGCAACACTGCACACAAATAAATACTTTTTGAAAATGAACCCAAGAAATGCCTTGGAAATACTTCCAATCTGAAATAAYATAAACTCCTTTCTTCAGCAGGCATTTGGTTTTAGCCAAAGCTGCTTCTCAAGTTCAAAAGCATTAAGTTGCAGGCTACTGTCTAACTCTCCAATGCTGCATTACACTATTAAGTGTTTTTATTATTATTACTCCTACTATTCCAGTCTGGTTAGACTATAAAATAAGATCTCTTGGGCTCCTTAGACTCAGACTTTTACATCTGCCCTTGTACTGAAGCTCTTCCAGGAGATTATTGTTTCTTCTGCTAGTTCAATTGAAAGCAATGATGAAGTTATCACAATGCTTATGTCCTTGTCAAATAATGCTTYCAAAGGGTTGGAAGCACATTTGTGTGGGGAAAAAAAAAATGCTAACCTCATTTCCTGGATTTGGGAGAGAATAAGAAGCAA